AAGTCGCCAAACGTCTGCCAGCCTACAATGCAGCCGTTAATTACACAGGGAAGCTGCAGATCAAGCACATGGTTCAAGCCCAGCAGCTAAGTCACGATCATCCAGATGGCCACTATGCTGCAGCCCTCTTTCGGTACTTGAAAGAGTTTGCCATCAAGTTCTGTGGTGACTGCACACTCGTCTGCATGGACGACAAGCATATGGTGGTGGTTGTGTTTATTTAAATTCGCAAACCGAACGGACTGAACATGTCCAATGACAAGGAAGCGAATGAAGTCCAAATAACCCAGGAATGGGAACAGAGATGAAAAGAAAATAATGGGAACAGAAGGCTCTCGGCAAAGGAAGAAGAGAAAGGAAGGAAAGAAAAAGAATAATGGAGAAGAAGAAGAAGAAAAATCGTGGTCACGGCGAGAAGAAAGCTTTTAGCAAAAAGACAAAGGAAAGGATGAAGGAGAAAATGGGGAGACACATCGTGGTCACGGCCAAAGCCGTAGTAGTGGCAGGACACAGTAGACAAAACAACAACAGGAACAAGCACGCATGAAGCATGGGCCATGCCGGCCCAGAAGCAGGAGACCCCGAAAGGAAGAGAGAAAAGAAGAGAAGAGAGAGAAATCGAAGCATTGCACATCTACATGTACGCCCACACATCCACACATCCACACACCCACACATCCACACATCCACACACCCACACCTACACCCACAAACACACACACACATACATGTACATACCCACACATACGCACCAAAACACACATACTCAGACACATACCCCCCCCCCCACACACACACGCACATGCGCGTGCACACACACACACACACAAACACACACACACTACTACTACTACTACTACTACTACTACTACTACTACTACTACTACTACTACTACTACTACTACTACTACTACTACTACTACTACTATCAATCAGCTACCCCTTGGGGTCACGCCGCCCTCCACTCAGAGAACTGAGCGCAATGTGAGGGGCAGTGGCGCAAACAAAACAGAAAGTACAGCAAAATGAATTGAAAAAAAAAGGAAATCAAAACAAGCTGCCATATTGATGGAAAGGGACTCACAAACAGAGGAAAGAAATATCACAAACCAGATTAACAGTCTGCTGTAGGTCCACTATAACATGCAACGACTGAAGACAGGAACAAAATTAATGTGAACATGATGTTCTGTTCAACAATAACGTCTGTATGCGTACTGCTTCGGCCTTCATGCACCAGGAAAGCGCAATCTTGAGCTGGAGGGTGGGCACCGAACGTCCCACAAGGGCTCCACAAGACGTACTTTCACGAAACGACGAGGAGTATGCGCAGCAAGCTAACATCACTACACCATCGCCGCACGACGACTGGCCACTCAGGTCCAAACAACACAACAAATTCACAATTCCATATATCGCCGCGCAGGAATAAATTTTTGCGAGTGTGACCTGTATCCTTTTTCATCCAGGAATCCACTTGTTTTGCCGAACGGCACTGCATTGTTTCAGGCTGGGGATTGATCCGAGGGCTCGCCACGCCACTGCGGAGAATGCGGAAAGGACGCAAGAAGACGGTGACGGCAACAAATTACCCGCCCTGGTCGTCAGCTCACTGAATGTCCTTCCGCGCAAGCGAAACCGGCTGCAAGGCATGAAAAGCCTACTGCCAGTCAATACCCAGGGACGACCCTGACCAGAAGGCCAAGGCCCCCCCGTGGAGGAGGCCAGCAAAGAGAAAACCAGGAGCTAACAAATCTGCTTCCTCTCCACGAAAATGTTTCACACACACACACACACATGTACATTGACAGCCACACATTAAATTGCTTTGCAATGTTCTCAGTTCATAGAAGAAACGGGACTGCGGCAGCACGGAACTGACGAGGAACAGAGATGGAGCGAATACTACTTGGCAGGTTGTTCCAGCATAGCGCACCCTGGAAGGCGAATGTCCCCTTTCCAGAGTTGCTGCGGGCGGGTGACAAGCAGAGACCCATGCTGGAGTCCAGGTGCGTGGACCGGCCACAAGCTGGCAGTAAGAGAACCTGAAGCTCAGGACTTGCTTGGCCGTATTGGCAGCGCCATGCAAGGAATGCCAGCTTCTGCTTGTACACTTCGGTTACCCGATACAGTGAGAGGCGCTCCAGTAGGTCATGTGCGGATGTCCACGGCGGGCGTCCGAACACTACATGGGCACCACGGTTTTGCAGAACCTGTAGTCGATGACAGTGCCTGGCTGCCAGAGATGTCGAAAATGCATTTGATCCATATAGAAGATAGGGCATTATGATGGACTGGAAATAAGTTATCCGACCCTGTGTGTTGAGGCAATGCCGCATCCTCCACAGGACTCCGATCTTTCGTGATACACAGTTTGCACAGCGGGTTACGTGGTCATCCCAAGACATGTTGCTATCAAATGTTACGCCAAGGTACCTGGCAGACTCCACAAGAGGCAGCAGGGTCCCGTTACAGTTCACCGAGAGTGGCGTATGCTTCTCAGGTAGGTTCCCGGAAATGGAGATCACCTGGCTTTTGGAAGCATTCAGGATCAAGCCACGGTCGTTTAGCCAGTTAGCAATAGCTAAAGCTGACGCAGACAGAATTGCAGACACTTCAGACTTAGTAGGTTTGCTGCAAGTGAGACCAATGTCATCTGCAAACTGCAACGACAAAGCTTGTCCAGCAACATAGGGTATTTCCCGAGTGTATATGTTGAACAAAATGGGGCCGAGCACAGATCCCTGTGGCACTCCGCAGGTGCAGAGAGTGATAGTGCTGCGTGATGGTCCGATACACACACGCTGGGTCCGTTCGGAGAGGTATATGTTGAAGGTGGGAGAGCCTGAATTTCCTGTTGCTGCGGTTGACCGTGGGAAACGAGTGCTAGTGACCAAGGATACAGCTCTGTCTGTGGGTGACCATGACTTCACCAAAGTGAAGATCGTACCATCAGTCTCTCTAGTCGTTGACATTCCCGACACCATATCTGAGAGTTTTTACGATGGCCATGTAGTCGTAGCCTTGAAGGAAGCAGCATTTCAGCCGTCATCAGCAATGCGCCACTCTGCCGAACTGCTGACTGCCCTGAAAGCGTGCAATATCAATGGCATCGTCAGCCCCATCCTGGGGGCTGTATACAGCTGTGGGCTGTGTATACAGATGGTGGCCCTGACCACAATGTGACATTTGCGTCCGTCCAACTAGCACTCATCGCTTTGTTCAAGAGGCTTCAGCTGGACTACTTGATTGCAGTCAGAACTTGCCCATACCAGAGCTACAAGAATCCTGTTGAACGTGTCATGTCACTTGTTAATCTCGCGCTGCAGTCACTCGGCTTGATGAGAGTGAAAATGCCTGAGGACATGGAGGCAAAGATGAAGTCTGCGAATAGCATCAAGAATGTACGGGAGGCAGCAGAGAAGACTGCTGGGCTGAGGGAAGCCCTGTTAGAATCTGTGCAGCCAGTCAAGGACCTTCTCTCAGAGTTCCTGCAGCGTGTCCCGCTTCATGGGAAGAAGTTCCTCACTCAGTCTGCAGCAACTGATGACAAGCTTGCCGATTTTCCCGAGCACCTGGCTGCCATTGATCCTGAGATCAAGCTATCAATGACGAAGGCACAACTTGCCAAGTTACCGCGTTATCAGGAGTTCTTCCAACACTGCTGCGTTTCGCAGCACTATTTCTTCATGGTGAAGAAATGTGGCAGTCATGAGTGTGCAATCTGTGGGCCACCAACTCTACCGGAGAACAAATTTCAGTTGCTTCATGACTTCCCGTGTCCTGAGCCAATCGGAGAGCACTACAAGTCGTTTGAAGACGTGTGGGGAACGGCAACCTCAGCTGAACACCGACCATCACCCAAGAAGTCTTCGGGAATCTCATCCACCCGTACCTTCCCCGATACGAAGATTCCGACACGCAAGGAGAAGGTCCGCCTAGTTGTATAATGCACTGAGTGTAAGAAGCCAAGGTGTGTGTTCGCAGAATCTCGTCTCTCTGCTGCTGATCTCGTCAACCTTGAGCAAGTGTTCGAGGATGTCGACTATGTGTGTGGATCACCGCTTCTGGATGAGAAGGACCCTCTGTATGAGAAGGTTGTCGTACGTGCTGGCCTTACGTGTGCCGACGAAATGTCAGCTGTGTACTACTCATGCAAGCGGTTTGCTGATGTCTGCTATGTGTGCGGCGCTGATGACCCCTAGGAGGTGTCAGCTGCAGTGAAGTCAACCTGCCAATCCGTCAATCCTGTTTGTGCTCGATGCTCCGCAGCAGGAAAAACGATTCGGTGCAGGAAGCAACCTGGAACGAAGAGGAAGCACGGTGATGAAGACGATTGACGTTTGGCCATGGGGCCATGCATGCCCGCAGTAAACACGCATGAGTGAGGGTCACACCCCCACACTCTTTTCAATACACACACACACACGCGCGCACTCGCGCACACACACGTGGCATTGATTTGGATATACAGGCACGTATTTAGATATGCATTCATTGTGGCGTTTTTTCCTTCCCTTGTGTGAAATGGTTTTAGTCATGCTGATAACCCAGATTGTGTGCTTTGATGTACGATTTTCTTCCAAATGTACATCATGCACGAGCTATTGTGCTATATACAGTGCTATACACCTCTGTTGAGCCTTTTTTTATTTGTTCGCAACTTTTTTATTTTTTTCCACCTCTCGCATATGATTCTGGAAGTTGAACTGACGCGAAACATAGAAATAAAAAATGATGGCCTAATGCCTTTTTGTGGCACTACAATCAGTCATCATCCAGCTACCTAGCATGTGCTCTAGGAGTATGTCAAGCAATTAGACCTAGCCGGTTGAACTCCTTACAGATTGTTACCAGCGGATTACAGGAGATTCAAAGCTTGAACTGTGTAAAGTTGATTATTTCAGATCAATGAACTCTGTGTGGAAATGTGAGCGTGGGGAGACATACAAGATAGGAGCCCCAAACTGGCTGCGAACTCAAACATATAGCTCACGTACAGAACTGTTACTTTACGTGGTGATGCGCAACTTTCCAGAGTTCTTTGCCCTGATGACAGAACACATAGGCATATTCCACAGGAAGGAGTTTCTTGGCAATATCCAATCGACGCTGCACAAAGCACCAGCATGGTCCAGGTTAACATCTGCGCACAGAAGGTGGACAGTATCCATAAAACCATAAACGATATAGTTGAAGACAGTCAACTCCCGCCCTAATCAGTTTACCGGAAATTCACATACTGGTAAAGCCAAAACCGCGTAGTACGTACAGGGCTTAAGACATGCTAATGTGTAGTACGCACATTTTGCAATTCACAAATAAATTAATGTGCACACGTGCACTTAGAACTTTCACACCAAGGTTCAACTCGAGAGACAGGAACGCGTCCAAACAGGCTGTAAGTAAGGGGCGTTTGTTTTTTGAAATTCCTCCTTTTTTTACGTCTCCCGAAGGGACCGCGGAGAAAAGGCGAACGTAGCAGATTGGACTGCTGTCCTCGAGTTGCCCGGATGTTGCCTGGGACGCCAACTGAAGTGGTGCGTGTGAACATCTCCTGAAGCAGGGGGCTAGCTTTGCGGTGGAGACACCGATGGACTAGCACCAGAAGCTTTTGATTTAGCAGTTGCAGTAGGCTGGGGACACCGAGGAGGGATAGAAGAGGTGCTGTGGGTACGAGATTACGCTGTTGGAGGGTTGACCGTAGTCCGGGTGGGTGTTGCGTTTCATTCCTGCCTTATGGCTTGTGGCCTCTGGGAAAAGTAACTGGCACTGCTTTTCATTCACAGTTCCATGGGGGTTGCCTCCCGATGACCGGATTTCCAATTCGTACTGTTATACCCTGCCTATTTTAATTCTATTTATTGGCTCAGTATCCGAGTTAAATTCGCACTATAGGTGGAGGATATTATCAGATAAGGGGCCGTCCGGGGTTACCGATTGTTTTTACAAAACGAAAAGTTTTAGTATTTTTCAGCCCCCACCCACCCACCCACCTTTTCTGCAGGTAAAACGAATTCCAATAAAATATTGATGTCAATTTTCGACATCCAGAAGTAACTGGGCATTCTCAATCAGCATTCAATAATTATTTTCAAAACGAAATACCATCAAACCCACCCACCCACAAACGAAAACATTTCGTTTTGAAAATATTATTGGTAACCTCGGACAGCCCCTAAGTCTTTGCAGTGTATGTGATGTGGTTCCATTGAAATAATATTGACCTTTGATAAATACCCACACTCATTAGTGACCACACCATCAACAGTATCAAATTCAAATAAATTTGCACTTTTCAATAAAAAGGAGTATTTATAAACAGTATTTGGCCGGCGATCTGCGAAAATCACCCTTCGCTGAGATGTAAATTTTTCGAGAAAATCGCGACTAAAGATTGATCACTGAAGCGTGATCAAGCGCAAACTCTGACAGCAGGTTGTCTTTGGACAGTCACGATGGCGGAAGGACACGTTAGGTGGAAGACGGTTATAGCTGGCTCAAACCGTTATTGGCTTCTCGGTAGATGATACTTATGCCTTCCTGGACCATGGACGATGATCTCTTATTTTTTGGGAGCGACATCGAGTGCTCAGATGAGAGTCCTGACGACGAGCCAACTGAGCTCGCTACGGCAGAAGCGCTAGAAAGTGATGCGGAGGAAAATGTTGATGAAGCGGCGCCAGCGCAGGCCGATCAGCCTCTACCTGCAAGTGGTCCCGGTAAGCGAAAGCGAAAAGGTCAAGCTGCGAATGTGTCAACACTTGAAGACGTTGTCGCTCGCGTTGAGAAAGGCTGCGGGTGTCAGGGTGCGAACTGCTTCACCAACGTCGCACCTGACGACATCCTGCGCGTTCCCAACTAGTACTTGGCGGGGCGCTAGGAGCTAAGCAACGAGAGTTTGTGCTGCCTGCTAGGAAAGCTGGAAGCTCTAGCGAGACGTGCTGAAGTGTCTCATTACGTGGCGGCAGCCCAAGCTGGCGTCAGAGGTCGGATTACGTTTGAGTATGCTTTTGCTGAAACAGCAGTGTGCAAGGCTCTGTTTATTTATGCACATGACGCAACAGAGCATACAATCAAGAGTGTCCAGTTCGGATAGACCACTCTGGATGACCACACAACTACTGTACTGAAATCTACTGTTCATGTCGCCTCCTTATTGCCTGCTGGTCCGCCTCCAAGTATCCCGCCAGCAGGATTGCCCAACCAACGTGCAGAATACCTCTACAAGCAGATTCGACAACACTGCCATGAGGAGAATAGAGATATTACCTGCCCAGAGCTAGCAGCAGGTGCTTCACTGCCAGAAGAGCCCTAATTGGACTTGTGTCGACAATGTCATGTCAACAGTAGTTATTTTTCTTCTCTCATTGGCTGTAAAATAGCATCACGAAGGCAGAAAACATCAGCAAATATTTGGGCTATTTTCCCAAATTCTCCACTGGAGTGTCCTAGACAAACCACCTCATATATCCGAAAGGAGTGGTCAGACTGCCCTGAAACTTTGGTATTTCGAGTAGCATGGATGTGTGGTTGCTTTCCATGAAAAAACTCATGTTTGCCAAAAAGGCACCAAAGGGTGATTTTCATAGATTACTGGCCATTTAATGGCCTTAGTGGTATTTTATATACAGTATTTATTGGCTTTCGGGCCAATAAATACTGTTTATAAAATACCGTAAGGCCAATAAATACTTATGGTTGATAAATATGGTGGTAAAGACACACCTGGCAATATGGCGGTAAACACACGCCTGCCCACACACGCTCTCTAGGCTGCAAAGTTCTGGCACAGAGCTCTCCTTCTCACCACCACCACCATCAGTTCGCGCCTGGCGCCTGGTCGATGCATGGCTGGCAGTATTCGGCATAACAGGATGGTGGTGGTGGTGAGAAGGAGAGCTCTGTTCCAGAACTTTGCAGCCTAGAGAGCGTGTGTGGGCAGGCGTGTGTTTACCGCCATATTGCCAGGTGTGTCTTTACCACCATATTTATCAACCATAAGTACAGCTGCAGTGGTTTCTTCAATTTCATTCTCCCGAGTCAAGCTCCGTATGAAGACATCCAAGAAGAAGATTACCTGATGAGTCCAGCGGGGACAAAACGTACGTCGCAATCGAGCTATGTCGTTGCTGTGTCATCATCTATGTGCCATGCGCAACTTGATGTACCAGCCTGTTATGCCGAATACTGCCAGCCATGCATAGACCAGGCGCCAGGCGCGAACTGTTGGTGGTGGTGGTGAGAAGGAGAGCTCTGTGCCAGAAATTTACAGCCTAAAGGACGTGTGTGGGCAGGCGTGTGTTTACCGCCATATTGCCAGGTGTGTCTTTACCACCATATTTATCAAACATAAGTACAGCTGCAGTGGTGTCTTCAATTTCATTCTCCCAATAAATACTGTTTATAAAATACTCCTTTTTAGGGAAAGTGAAGGTCAACATAATTATGTACAATAAATGTAGTAGCCTCAGGATTTATTGCAATTATATACCAGTTATAAAACGTCGGGGGACCTCGGTTTTTATACTGGTATGTAATTGCAATAAATCCTTCGGCTCTACATTTATTATATACGTATCTTTGGCTGTCATTCTATTATTGTGGAGATTTCACGCAGGCTTGGCCTATTGTATCGGGGGGATACGAAATAGTGAAGGTGTGCATGCAATAGGAGATGCTTGAACTACCTGTGCAAATCCTGTACACTGTACACTTTCAGGTTGTGCGTGCTTCCCCTAGCTGCATCTCATGTTTGCCATTTAAATAAAATATAAAATACACAAATACTGGTATTTTCACTTGAAACGTCTTAGTTTCAGGCTGATTTTTTTCGTGTTGCTGGACCTTTCCATCTCCACCACAATATTGGGCAAGCCTTCCCACCTGGTTTGCCATGTTACGTAAAAACAAACAAGAAAAAGAAACGCGCAGCCAAGATTCCCGCAAGTCAGGGTACGCTGGTGACATACTGCATCACAGCTTCATACGGCCAGTTCTGCGGTATGCCTGGCTCGCATGGATGGGCGAAGCACCATGCAACCTCAATCTCATTGACAGCGTCCCGCATGGAGTCCTATGCATCACTGGGCCAGCAGCCTTGCTGCAAAGCTTGGCTGCCGGGAGAATAGAGTATGCGCTTGCGTGCATTTATAAGATTCCGTACCTGGATTGTCCTCGTCAAGTGCTCACCACGCACCCTTCCCCCTTTCCCCTCCCCCCCCCCCCTGCTGACTCTAGTTGCTATACTCCGAATCAGAGCCAAACAGCGACCATCTCAGAACCACCAGCTAGATCATAACCTGCTCGCTTCCACTCCGGTTCGGCATTTCAGTGTGTTTACCTATTGTGCCCTTGAAGCCTGTAATGGTCTGCCCTGTGTGCCCTGTGTGCCCTATGTTACACACACCATCCATCCTGAAGTCCTTGCACACATTCAAAACCAAGTCATATGAACATCTTCGAGGAATACGTTGAATGCACTGCTCTGCATTGTGCCTATTTATATGAGTTTTTGGATGAAGTTTAATATGCCAGAAATTTTTCTGATGGGATGGCCTCAAAAACGTTCAAGGAATTTACCGGTACATGTAAAATGACCAGTAGTTTTTTTTTCGTGGCTTTTGTAACGAGTGCGCAACTTGCCCTATCCATTTCGTTAATAGAGAGGTTCCAGAGGACGATTTTTCGTGCCAAAATCTGTAGACGCGCTACGGATTTTTCAAACGTAGTTTTCGAGCAGTGAAATGTTCAGGAGTACGGAACTTATGTGTTTGCCGTCATTACTTAGGTTACGATCCCAAACACGTCACACTCCGGCGCTTTGCCTTTTTTTAATTTGTACCGAATTCAAAACTTCTCGTGGAAAATCGATGTTTCTCGTACCAAATCTGTACACGAAAAGTCTTTCTGCACCCGATGACGCAAAATCTCTTTACGAAACATGGTTCGTATGAAAGCCTTTCCGCACGGATTTTCCGTGCTGAAAAATCGTATGGAGGACGCCTCGAAAATATCCGTAGCGCCCATACGGATTTTGGCACGGAAAATGGTACCCAGAAACTCTCTAATATCATTCTTATCTTCACGGAAAACCAAAAAAACACACATAGTGAGGAGTATGATTTGGTGAGTGCAAAACAAATTTTAATTTTGACTTATTGTCAGAATACAACAGCCACATACATAAGGTGAACTGGCATAGTGATGGCCTGCGGGTGCGAAGGCTAGTCTGTGTGTTTCTGAACATTCAAGCGATGCCGACGCGGATCCCGCGAATATTATTATTTTGCATACATATGCGTGATGGAGACGAAAGACTAGCACTTTCTACGTGAGAGGCAGGATTTCCCCAATCAGGATCAGGACAAACCAAGCATGCAGAAATTGTACCAAACCCATGCATTACTGGTTGAGATTTTTATAAAATGAAACCCTCTCAAAACGTCCTTACCTCATTTCTAATTGATTTCCAACCCGTCATCTTGATCGCGTGTCACTCTGTCTACAGAAGCTAATTTCTATTCGCTACATTGAAAAATCCCTGATTCGGCTTGTCCTCCGCCTACAGGGCATTCGCGTGCTTGGATGTTTTCAGCTACAGTACCGTCAGTTCTTCCATTCAGTTGGAGCTCCGAATTCCTTTTCGTGGTTTCGTTTTCCACAACTTGCCTTGCAGTCTTGGCAATCGTAAATACAAAATAAAAATACAAATACAAATCCTGCATGCAGTGCGTAGAGAAATCACCCATATTTTGATCTGCGCGTGGCTGATTTATGGTGCGTAGCTTGATCTCGAACTATTGCACCGTAGGCCCTTGGAATGCAATCTGTGTGATGTGCCTTCCTGGGCATGGATGGGGCAAGATCCTCGAGCTCATCCTCACGGGTACGGGTAGTAGCAAGAGTACATAACCCCCCAGAGTGTGCAACTCCACTATGGGTGCTGTCCCGACAGAATTTCAAGTTGACGTCATTTTGATGATGCAATGCGCACTGTACACGGATTATCAGACGAATCCGGAACCTGTGGTTGACCGAAGCCGATCGATCCTGTACAAATTATTGCAAAGAAAAACGTGTGATGCGTTGACACCCGTACACATGTTGTAAATCACTGCTGCAAGGAGCATTGCGTCATAAATAATGACGTCAACTTGAAATTCTGTCGGGACAACAGGGTATGTGGGAGTTGCACACTCTGGAGTCTGGGGGGTTATGTACTCTTGGTAGTAGTCATAGCCCGAAATTGCCGGCAATTCTTTGAGCAATAATATTATATCGAAATGCCAGATTGCCGGCATTTTTTGAGCAATTTATCGAAAAACGTTAGATTTCAGATGAGAATTTTGAATTTCCTCCCTAAAACTGGGCTAAAAGCGCCGTTTCGTTCTTATAAAAGCGCGGATGACCGCGATTGGCCCATATGTTGTTGTCTTTTGGCCGCTGAGTCGACTCATTAATTTTACAGCCTGTTTGGGAGCAATTTGAAAAGCGAAAGGCTTCGGCCGAAACCACACTACGTAAAATCAAGAGTACATAAACCAAGAGTGTGCAACTGCCTGCACAACCTCTATGCTGTGCTGCGACGGCAGAACTTCACATCACGTGACATGGTTCAAAAGGTTATGCTGGCAAACAGTGCAAAGTGACCACAAGAGAGTTGTACCCAAAGCTGGGCTGCGTACAACCCAGTATCTATCATGCACTAGAGTGCACGGGTTCATCACGTGATGTGAAGTTCTGCCGTCGCAGACCCCATAGCTGGAGTTGCACACTCTTGTTTATCTACTCTTGGTAAAATCAAGAGTACATAACCCCCCGGGGGGTTATGTACTCTTGGTAAAATTCACAGTACACATTTTCATGCATATCTCGCATTTTCAGCGCCGTGGACATGCGTCTGCGAGGCTCGAGCGCTCCCGTCGCCGTCTTATGGGACTCTCCGTACATGACGGTGCCGGCGTTGGAGTCTGAGTCATGTTCTCGTTCTGTTTTTCTAACTAAGTTACTTATTATACCTTTTCACTGATGGTCCTTTATCACTGTCTTTTTCTCACTGTAGCTCCTCATCGTTGTTTTTTTTTTTACCAGGCGTAGGCCATCCCCTGATTTTTTAGGTGCCAAACATTTTTACGTTTTTCAAAAAAAAAATCAATAAAATGTTATCTCAGTACAGGTCGGTACGCAACCACACTACACTTTTCGGTCTGCATAGATGACGTTTTCACGCGAACAGCACGTGACGTTGTCGTACCAAAGGGTGTGCTAATCTGTACAAGAGCGAACAGTACCTAGTGTGGGGTTTTTTTTTTTTGACAAGCCTTGAGCCTCTTGTACGGGCAAAATAACACATTTTGTGAAGAATCAACACATATACTCTGTAAATACTGTATCTGATGATTCGATTAAAAAAAAGAATCATCAGATACAGTATTTACAGAGTCTGTCACTCAGTAGGATCACTGCACTGTGCAGGTTCACTGGATGCGTGTCTCCGCCCGGGCCGCCACTAGCACAGCAGGGGACTCAGGCACAGCAGAAGCAAACATGCTCCTTGAGCCACGCAGGCACATAGCACCACAGCGCACCAAGGCAAACCCAAGGCGGCAACGCAGCAAGGAGATGATCTGCCCGTATGGCTCCTTACTCTTCTCAGCCAGGAGAGAGGCGATCCGCGTGAAAAGAGCATTGGCATGCTTGCCATATAATAGCCACCAGAGGCAGAAAGCACAACGGGCACGAAGGAGGCATGCTCAACTTCACTTACTCGCTCTTCGTACTTCCGGCGCTTTTCCTGTTCATGGCGTCTGTAGCTAGCAGCGAGGGAGGTGGCACGATTCGAAGACGCAAAAGTGTTGAACACCCGTACATCAATAAAGATGCGCTCGAATCGGCCACCCCACGCGTGGGGTGGCCGATTCGAGCGCATCGTCCAGCCGAGCTTGCTCCTCCGTGACAGCTGTGCGATGGCGGAAGGCCTCTCCGGTGACGGGCTGGAGGTGGGGTTCCACTGTCACGTTGTGAGCGACCTGCCTTAGAGCTCTGGCGGTGATGTCCCTCACCTCGTTATGTCGCAGCGTCGGGAAGCCACCAAACGGGCACGACAGGGCGTGACTAACATTCAGCGGCTTACTGCACACGCAGAGGCTTGGGAGCCGCGGAGGTGTCCAGCCGTACCGGAGGCACAGGCCATCCCGGAAATCTCCCTTGCTGAGTGTGAAACCATGGCGGCTGAGGGGGCGGCAGGTCAGCCAGCTGGATGCACCCTTTTCTGAGGCCAGGTCGAGAACAGGGGCCAGCTCCCGGTGATCCGAGGGAAGGGCGTCAGCCATAGACTTGAACGCGCTCTGCTTCTCGGCCCGAACCGTCGCCTTGACCGTCCGGAGCTGGGTCAGAGAGTCGCCAAGAGACGACTCCTGCTCCAGCAGGCGAGACACGAGGCTAGCCGTGATCCTTCGGGATGAGGTGTACTGTTCAACCACTGAACAAGGGTCTGCCATACCCAGTCCCCCAAGCCGGCAAGGCAGAGAGAGTAGGGAGCGAACAGTTGTCCCAGGTGGAGCCTGACCCGTGATGGCCGGTATGAGCCGACCGCTGATTGTGTGTTCCAGCGGTTCAAGCAGGGACGGCGGGATGGAGGAGGTCCGGCAGAGGAAGGACCACTTGTTTTGCAGGCCCTGTGTGAAGGCGGAGTAGGCGGCCAGTGGCTGCGATGCAGCGATGGTCGTGAGCTGCGCAACTTCCTCACACCAGGTGGCGACCTTGGACTGGACAAATTGTTCTATAAACTTATCCGTGCCCAAAGGTGCACCAAGGTGCTGGTTGCATATTTGGTACCCGGTGTGCCATGACCAGGCATGCTAATTCATCGGATATTAGCAAGTTTGCCTGCCTGCTGGGTGTTGTATCTTAGCTTCACTGTACTACAAATACGATAGGCTTAGATTTCCTAAATTGCTTCTTTATAACATTCAGTTTGTTTTGCTGCAATCTTTTCACGTGTTTTACAGGATTGTAGCCAAGGGTGAATACCATTATCATGAGCGAAGGTCTTGAGAACTCATGTCAGGCTGGTCATGTTGGCCCAACGATGACTTTCATTGCCTGTATCCGCCACCTTCATACTGGAATGAACTGGAACATGTTCACTCTCTGTTTCTCATGTTGAAGGACGGAACAGATTGTTTGTCTGTCTCTGTGGATCACCGAAGGCTGAACAGTACAGTTGGAAGAATATTGGATCTCACGAAGTGACTGAATCTGAAGCGGCTGACATGCATTGCACAGCGCTTTCTTTCTGAGATTTGCTTCAAGGCAGGTTATTGTGTACAATTTTGTCCACAGTATTCCTATATTTGCCAAACGTATTTCTCTGATAGTATTGTGACTACACACGCGCAATGATCTCTCCGTCATCAGTCTTTCGCAATGGTGTGGCTCACTGATGACAGCATGCATAGCCATAGCAGATTAGGTAGTTGAAGCAGAAGAATGGATCAATGCATCCTGAACCTGGTGTACTGCCTATATGCACTCTCAGTGCACTCTCAGTAGTATTTGTAACGTGTTAACTATGAAGTATCAACATTGCTTCTCTTCTATGTGGGTGGTGTGAGTGATGTCAAACTGTTGTGTTTCATGGGCAGACATTTACCATCGTCCCATATTCTCCTCTTGTATAAGTCTTATGTGTGTCAGGCAATTGAATATGCCATTCCTGTCTGGTCATTTAGGATCACATCCGCTCAGTTAGAGTCCCTTGATGTACTCCAGGCTAAGGTTTGCCGGCGACTCCTGAAGTCTGCAAAAATAACCTTTGATATCTATGAATCAAAATCCAATTTGAATAGATTGTGTCACTTGGAATCTTTGCAATTTCGCCGTATCTTTATTTCCCTTGTTGTTTTATTTAAGTACATCAATTTCCACCCAGAATATCTCTCTCGCTTTGCGATAACCATATCACGTAGTGCCCGTAGGCCCAAAAAGCTCGTTTTTAACTCACATGGTCGTATTTTTTCATCCCTTTTCCTACAGAAAACTGGTTCTCTTTGGAATTGTCTTCCACCCCGATTGACAACTTTAGATTCCCTATCTGAATTCAAGCGTCATTTACGTATTCACATTGCTAAGTATCAGTTCGACTGCACTGATACACCTTTGATGTGCAATCATTGATTTACATGCTTGTTCTTTTCTTTCCTGTCTTACTTTCTTTCCTTGTGTTTCTTATTATTCCTTTTTCAAACCAACATTTCACACTCACTTTGCGCATCCTTACCTATGTTACTAGTACATACACAAATAGGAGATCCCCCAGATAGGCGTTAGCCTTTGGGCAATCCTGAAATAAAGATTATTATTATATTATTATGTCAGATGGTCTGTACGGCCATGGCCGATGGTGTTCACGGGAAGATGTTGGGTTGGGCCATTGTGCCCTCTTGCAATATGCTGTTGCAGCCTGAAGGCAATTAAAAAGTTCGAATGCTGATCTGCTTTCGAGCGTGGAATGTTACATTGTGTGCATTACATATTTGCATAATTATGTTTTGTACTGGAGTGTGAATGTGCGGCAAGGGCATGCACATGTAAGTATATCGCACTGCAAACTGCCTAAGAGTTCACGT